TCGGTGAGGGGTGGGCCAAACTACCAAAAAGGGAAAATCAGTCCTGAAATTCCTTACTTGCCTTTTCCTAAGATAAAGAACCGCACAGTCATGTTGACAAAGATCCAGGAGAATCCCAGGAATTGCACGAGGTTATACATGAACAGGTATCCTTTCCTCAAGCTTACAAGAGCTGGAAAGCAAAGCAAAGCAGTAAGATGTCAAAAGCAATAGTCACCACAGGAGAGGGTGTGTGGGGTGTATCCGGGTGACTTCAACCCTTTTTCCTTCCTGGGTGCCCCTAAGCTCCCACACAAATATCTTGTCCATGTCTTCACCAGGCTGGGCTCGTACTCCCATAGAAAAACATATAAGCAAAAATTATGAGGAACACTGCTCTCCAAAGTATGTTTTTAGGTCTTTTTCATAGTCTTGAGGGGTAAGTATACAGACATAACAAACTCAAGAAAAAATATTACATCTGGTGTGATATTATGAGATACATATTGGCTTTCATCCAATGGTTTCTGGCTTGTAACTCCCACAGCCCTTGTTACAGTCTTTTGTTATAGTGTTAGGACACTTTAGACCTCAGAAAACAGAAACTCTCTCTCTGACCATCCCCTGTCTTCCTTTCACCTGCCCAAGGCAGGACTGTAATCTGATTGTGAGTGACAAGACCCTCACTCCAGAGAGGGTCCTATCCCATACCCTGGAGGAAGGAACGCTGCACAGAGAGGCCAAGAAGAATCCGAACAGACAGGCCCTGCCAGATTGAGATCCCTTTTTGTCCAATCACAACTTGACACGGTTGGCCATGCTTCGATGCCTATCCAGTGAAGTCTTCATAAAAGGCCCAAGAGGACAGGGTTTGGGAAGCTTCCAGATAGCTGAACACATGGAGGTTCCTGGAGGGTAGCACACCCAAGGAGGACATGGAAGCTCCACGCCCCTTCCTCCATACCTCACCCTATGCTTCTCTTCATCTGTATCCTTTGTAATATCCTTTATAATAAACCAGTGAACGTAAGTGTTTTCCTAAGTTCTGTGAGCTGCTCTAGCAAATTAACTGAACCCCAGGAGGAGGTTGTGGGAACCCCGGTTTATAGCTAGTTATTCAGAAGTTCTGGAGGCCTGGACTTGCAGCTGGTGTCTGGGGACAGTCTTGCAGACTGAGCCCTCAACGTGTGGGATCTGAAGCTATCTTCAGGTAGACAGCGTAGGAATTGAGTAAGAGGGCACTCGGCTGGTGTCTGCTGCAGATCTGCTTGCTTGGTGTGCAGGAAAAAACCTCCACACATTTGGTCACAGAAGTCTTCTGTGTTGATTGTCATCGAGTGAGAGAATAAGAAAAAACACACTGAGTGTTGTGTTTTTTCCATAAAACTTGGCAAAGTATGACCACCTTGGGAGGCATTATAGAAAGGAAATAAAGATCTGCTCAGCTCCTGCTCTAGTCATCTTAATACAATCTACAGTTTCTTCTTTTTTGGAATTTCCTTAAGGTCATCTCTTTAAGCTAGCTCAAAAAGGTAGAAACAATAAATGAAAAAAATAATTCTGATATTTGGCTATATATTCATTCAACCAAGCATTAACGGAACGCCTACAAGGTACAAGGTACTGTGAAGCGCACTACTAGGGTGCAAAGACAGATAAACCACGATGCCACTCTCAGAGCTTACGTTCTGAAAACCATAATACCAGATGGAGAGTGACAAGTAACGTCTTATGAAAATTTCAAGGTGGAATGACATTAGGCTGGGGAAGTAGGTATCAAGCACGTCCACGTGGACAAGCTGGTGTCCGATCTGGGCTTTGAAAGATGGATAGGATGAGGACACAACCAAAGGAGGACAATTTCACCCCGAGAGGCAGGAAATAAGGGCACTAATTTTGTCTACAGCCTAAGGCTCATGAAGACACAGCCAATGACACAGTTAAAGACAGAGTCACGGCTGAGTCAGAGGAGTGAGGTAAAGGAAAGGGCAGTTCTCAAGACAGCAGCAATGGTGTTCAGACTCTGCGGCTACGTATTTTTTCCTAGGCTACAGATATTCTGCACAGACACTTGGCTGATGCTCAAATAGTTGCATCAGCAGTATGGCCGATCGAAAGCAGCCTTACCCTAAGGGACCAAAAACTGTCAGACTTCTAGCAATATTTAACTAATTAAAACTTTTTTCTTCAAAACTACAAAAATTTATTACACTTCCCCACCTTGAAGAACTTCCTTCATCAGAAAACTTTATGAAATTTAGATAAAACAGTTAAGGCTTTACCTAGCACTGTAAAAATCCATACATAAGAATTTATACCTATTTCAGAAGTTTGTCCCTTTAAAATACCAAAAAATTAATTTAAATCTCAAGGTGACCTTCTTATGTTGTTGTTAAATTCTTTGCATCCACTAATCTTCTCTTTTCCTCTGCTTTTCTATAAGAATATTCCTCTTAGTTAGGCTATTTAAATCTTTTTTTAAACTCCATTTCAAAAGAAACCTTATTCAAAAGCCCAACATATAAAACACCAAAGAGAGCTGCTCTGACTGAAGCAGACCTGTTTGCTCGATCTGCCCCTCCAAAGCACCTCTGGGAACCTCTGGGGTACCATGGAACATAGTTTGAGAACCACTGCTCCAAAACCTTTCTCTTCCTTATTTATGGTATGCCAAATAAGTGCCACTAGAACTTGAAAAAGTTCAGTGTAGGACAAATGGGGAGCCCTTATTTCGTTCTGCTTTTCAGAGTTAGTTTTACATGTATCTGCACTGTCCTCCCACTAGAACGTAAGCTCTTTTGAGCACAGGTGCTATGATGGATTCATCTGTCTCTACATCGAGGGCCTAGTACGATGCTTTCCATGTAGCACGAATGTAACAGACTGCTGCTGGATTTAACTTAACTATATCACCCAGAAGATAATACATCTTCAGAGCTTCTTGCTTATAAGTGGTTAGACAGAAATAGAAATGGACTTTCAAAAGGTTAATGAATAGCAGGACTACACTGAATACTCTCCATCTTTAAGGCTGACAATCATACTTATCTATGGCACAGCCCTTGAGATCTCAGCTGGGAGAAAAACTCCAGGCTGCAGGAGTGTAGCCTTGGACCCATGCAGTAATGTCCACATGTCTATGTGGGGCTCGGTTGCCATCTGGCATTAGGCTGGTGCAGGAGACAAAGGTTCTTTTATCCTGCTATGCCAGCCTTGGTGTACCCAGATGATGTCATGCCCAAAGCAGAAAGGAAACATTAAAGGTAAGGCTTCTGACGTAGGTGTGCATAGCTTCAGTACTGGACCTAAAAGGAATTCTCATAAACTCACTCACAGAGTTCACTGGGATGAAATTATTAGCTCTCCTGCCACATCGCATTCATCTCTCCTCCCACCGCTAGCACGAGTTAACTGGTGACTACCATTGTAGCAGTGGCAACTTACTTTCAGGGGAGCCTTGGCTTTCCAGTCTCAGTTTATTTAGGCGTTCTTCTTCCTAGAATTGAGACAGAAGTTTTCCAAGAACACAAGTTAGAATTCCTAGATGCTTGCAAAAGTCTACATACTGGAAGAGTAATCTGACTCCCTCAAAGCCACCTCCTCCCACTGTGTTCAGTGCATCATGGGGAAAATGTGCTAGCTCATGGTGCCAAAACGCCTGACTCCTTACTAGGCAGCATTAGCATCATAGGATGCCTGTCCATTGTTCACGGAATTAAACTGATCAGCTGGCTTCCACACTGCCAAGTGGGCAATCTTAGAATCTTACAGTTGGAAAGGACATCCAGAGCATTTGTCACGGTGACAGAAACAAAACAGAAGTTTAAGGCAAGAAGTTGATTGCTGTCTTATTTTTTAACACTTTTAGATTTTTTGTATAATTTTTCTAGAAGCTAAGATCACGTCTCCAACATCAGTACGAACTCATATGCAGCTTAATGTACAGATACACATAGAAATATTTATAAGTACATGTGTATGCGTGAGTTAGTATGCACACATGTATTTCCTTGTTCTAAGGACCTAAGAGCAATGACACCCCAGTAGCAGTAAGCATACCTGGTGCCCAGATCCTGGTTTCCAACACCATTCTTAATAAAAAGAACAGAGCTCCTGGGAGAAACGGCTATTCTAGGGCTGGAGCGGGGAATATACAGGATAAGCCTGGAGCAGCTTACGCTGCCAGAAAGTAAGGAAGTGCTCAAAAAGAAGTCCCACAATGATGGAACTTTCTCAAAAAGACACAAGAGCCAAAGGAAAGAGCTCCCAGTGGCCAAAACTGAAACAATTTGTGCAAAATAAATAACATACTATTAGACTATAAGCCAAAGAATAAAATAAATATCCATGAGTCCGCACCGATATAAATAAATGATTGAATAAATAAATGAATTTGAGGGAATGGACAAATCTCCTGTGCAGAAGAATTCTAAATAAATTATGTAGATACTCCACCTAAAGGATAGGAAGCATAACTCCCCACTCCTTAAGTGTGGACTACACATAGTGACTTCCTTCCAAAGAGCATGGTAAGGAAAGGGCAGAGGCACAGGGACAGTGATGTCACAGCGGAGAGACCTGACAAAGGTCACCTCAAGCCAGCTGATCCAAGGTTAATATCAACAATGATGTGTCATGTTGACAGTATGTACTCTGGGAATGATGTGATAAGAATGACACTTTACTTCTGTGGTTTTCCTCCCAAAACCCATCACCTTAAGAAACACATCAGATTAATCCCAACTGAGGGACAGTCAACAAAAATACGTGGCCAGTACTTCTTTAAAATCATGTTGCCCCCTCCCCCCACTCCTCCACAACAAAAAAATAAATAAATAAATAAAATCATGTTGCCAGGTCTTAAGTGAATTTTTAACTTTGTCCCTATTCTGTCAGACCCTGAGAGGTATCTGAAGTGGCCCACCTAACTTGGGTTCCTCATGATTTCTGTCTTCAATGGCTAGATCCTGGGATCCTTACTAACCTTGGCTCTGAGCTCCATTTCTGCATCAGATTCATCCAGCCAGCGATCAAAGTCAGGGGCCAAGAAGAGTGGTCGCTTCTCCTGCTTGGTGAGTCTCTCCCACCACTGACTCAGTTTCTTCTGTACTGTAATGTTTACCTGCCTCTGGGTCAGTTTGTAAAGCGGCTAGGAGAGAAAGTGAGAATGTGAGCGTGCCCTCTTCCATTCCTTGGAACCGCACCACGCCAGCATTGCTCTACAGAGAAGCTGCTCATTCCCCCTCCTGTTCCTGTCCTTATGCAAAGGAAACATCTGGACCAAAGGCTTGCACACAGAATACATGGTAAAAACAGAAGTGTCTTTCTCTAATGTTCCCAGTGAATGATACAGAAGAATATCAGATTAAGAAAGGCAGACAGTTCCTGGTCAGCCTGGAGGGAACCAGCATGAACCTCCTGCCAGAGCCACATCATGCAAGGCACTGTGTCCAATCACCCTCTCAAGGGCACACTCAGCTTCCAAATTTTCCTCCCACGAAAAGGACTGTCCCTGGCTTAGCAAACCTTTGTTTTTAGAAAAGTCTGCATCAAGGCCAGAACTGTACTGGATCAGTTACAGCTCTTCCACAAGGGCCAACCTAGGGAGTCTTCCCAACTAAACTCAAGTTCTTATAGGCTGTTTCAGCCTTTTGTTTGTCTACATGGCCTCTCCCTTTGTCTCCAAAGCAAGCCCTATGACAGGTTGGTGCTCTGCCCCTATGCCACTGCTTACTATTAATGCTTTCTCAAAAGAATGGAGTGTCTGTACAGAGAGATCAATAAGCTCAACCCCCAGAACCAAGAGTGTAATTCTAGAAAATGAAATACACCGTCTATTATATTGATCGTATATTTCATCTCTCCCTTCATGTTAGTGAAGCTTCCTCAGGCTCTCAAGGAAGGCAAACTTCAATTATATTTCCAGCATTCTTTCTAAAGACCAGCTGCCTTGGCCCTTTCTGTTGTTTGTGTGTGTTCGCGTGTGTATGTGTTTTTGTTTGTTTTCCAGACAGAATATTGCTATGTTGCCCAGGATGGTCTTGAACTCCTGGCCTCAAGCTATCCTCTTGCCTCAGCCTCCTGAGTAGCTGGGATTACAGGTGCGTGTCACAGTGCCTGGCTCTTAGCCATTTCTGATTTCTATTTTTCTTGTTGTCCCTGTGGCAAAGTTACATTAAAGTAACCCCCTGGTGCAGGCTTCACCTACCCTACATAACTCTGTTCTCAATGGGTGCCATATTCCTCTGCCATCACTAAAATCAGAAAATACCAGAGCTGGAAGGGACCCTAGAGATCACTTTAGTCCAGTCCTTCATTCAATACATGAGAGAACTAGAATTCAAACAGGTGAAGAGACTTGTTCAAGATCACACTGCTAATAAAGGCCAGAGCCCAGATTCAACTCAGATTCTCTAACTTTCCCATTCCTCTGCAGCTAAAATCTGGGTTCTATTCCAAATAACAGAACTCTTATCATTCCCCTTTGGTTTTTATCTTCTTCTCTCCCACAAACCCTGCTCCCCATTTCACTAAACTACTAGCATTCATTTCCTAACATGGGAAGGGAAGTGAGAAAGGAAAGAACATACCTCTGGCTTCACAAGATCCAAGAACTCCAGGTGAAATTCATAGACGTTGTCTCCTTTGGCACCATGTCCCTGAGCTGTAACGAAAGAAATGTGGGTTATTGTGAACTTGAGCAGAAAAAGGCCATCCAAAAGTTAGCCTGGTATAGTTCTTGCATAAGTACACAAATAGTAATGGGTCCTGTCAAAATGCGTGGAGGCCACCCAATGCCAGATAAGCCAAATCCTGGACAGAAGTTCATTTCCCCATGTCCTCTGACGATCAGTTTCACAGCATTTACTTAATCTTCCGGCATGGCCTTGATGCTACCCAGTACAAATAATAGGCAGGAAAAAGAATATGAAAAGCAGCCAAAGGGGCCACAGAGATATAAATTTAACTTTCACATTCACTTTGGCTCTAAATCCAGAACAGTGAAAAATCAGGTGGGTGTATCATCTTGACTGTGGTTAAGGGAAGTTGCAGGGTACATGAAAATGCTGGACTGTCTCAAAGACGGCTCTGAATCTAAAACCTCTCAACCAGGGACAGAATGAAGGGAGAAGCTGACTTCTCCTTTAGCACATCCCAAATGGAATAAGAAAAAAGAAATACAATCTTTCTCAGCTCATGAAGGACAGGTGGAACTGGGAGGGAAGACCCCGGGTTGGCTACTGCCCCATCCCTGTGCCTTGACACGGCTCCTTTCCCAAAAATCAAGCAGGCGCCATGCCTGCGTGCCAGATACTGCTGCACCCAGGGCTGCTGCTGGGCACCCTCCTCCTCTACTTCGGATTCGTTCACTATGTCTGGGCTTCTCTTCCCTTATCTGGCCATACGTAGTAAAACCTGCCTAATATTTGCTACAGGTGGCTATGACTCTCTAAAACCATAAATTCCTTAAGGTAGGGCAGTCTATAAGCTCTAAGTGGCAAGATATGCTTTATCACTTTAATTTTTTTTTAAAAGTATATATTAATAAGACTCCCAAAAAAACCTGAGCTGCTACCACCACTACTCTCACCCTGAAACGTAGATACGAAAGCCAGGCTGGACTTTCATGCACGTATATTAGGGTGGACGGAATCTTATGTTAAGCAGAAACTCTTCACACCTAATAACCCCAAGAACTGGAACAGAGGAGAAGAGGGAGAATCCCACCCACTGGGTGACAGTGAATGCAGACCTACGCTCCCAGGCAGAGCGGCAAGTCTGCTGATGAACTGAGGAGAAAGGAGATGGAGGCAGATTCAGAGTCAGAGACCGTCAGGGCAGGAAAGGCCTTAGATGTCAACTTGAGTGCACGGTTTCTCAAACTGGTCTGTAAGCGCAGTATCAGGGAGCCACAAAGTCTCATCAAGAAAATTTCTATTTTTTGTTTTCATTCTAAACTTTTTTTAAAAAGCAGCATATTCTGGGTCATCTAGATGGCTACTTTATGATTAAGTACTGCCACACAAGTTCAATGGCTGTGTTTGCATCTCTGTTCACAGCTGTGATGGAGCCAAGTGTCAATTAAAGTGACCATATTTAATTCTTCAAGTGTTTCTCAATCTGGAGTCCATGAGCCCTTGAAGGGTCTGTGTACACATTCTCAGGTGTCCATGGGTCCTCGAGTTTGAGAAACACAAATTGCAACCCAATATCTTCGTTGTATAGGTCCAGAGAAGTCAGTAACTTGTCCAAGGTAGTGGCAGAAGTAGAGCTAGACAACAGATCTCCTGATTTCTAGCTCAGGATTCCTCCCCCTCCCCACCCCTTGCATCTACTGCCTCTCCATGGGGAAAGCACAGTTT